CTGAGACGTTTGCGAGCCGTGCTACACGCTTTTCAAAATGCCGGACTGACACTGATGCCGTCAAAATGGCGGTTCGCTTACGACGAGCTCAAATTCCTGGGCCATGTCGTGAGTGCTCAAGCTGTAAGTCCTGACCCTGCAAAGACATTCGCTGTCGCTGAATTTCCGAAACCATTAGACAAGAAAGCCGAACGAAGATTTCTTAGGCTGTGCGCACACTACAGACGTTTCGTTCGCGATTTTGCCAAGATTTCTGCACCGCTCACGCATCTGACGAAGGACGACGTGAAATTCCAAGGGGGGGAGGAGCAAGAACAAGCGTTCAACGAAATGAAGAAAAGACTCCACTCGCCCCCTATCCTCGGACCCTTCGATCCATCAGCGGAAACAGAAGTTCATACAGACGCCAGCAACGCCGGGCTGGGTGCGATGCTCGTCCAAAGACAAGACGGAGCAGAGAGGGTGATCGCTTACGCAAGCCGCGCACTGTACAAGGTAGAGAAAAATTACTCAACAACCGACAAGGAATGGCTCGCTGTCGTCTGGGCGTTAACCAAGTTCCGCCCGTACCTGTACGGGATCCCGTTCCGCGTTGTCACGGACCACCACGCTCTTCGTTTGCTCGCCACCCTCAACCCTCAAGGACCTGTCAGGACGCCTCGCTCGCTGGAGCCTTCGACTGCAAGAATTCGATGTGACAATTGTGCACAAGTCTGGCCGCAAGCATAATGACGCCGATTGTTTGTCTAGGGCATCAGCCGAATCTCCTCCCGACCGACCCGACGACGACGATGACGCCCGTTTTCTCGGAGCAATTACAGTTACCGACATGGGAGCACTTCAACGAGACGGCTTCTAACTTCGCGCCGTGATCGACCATCTCGAAGATCAAGGAAGTTCAGTCCCGCGAGTCTTGGCCCGAGACTTGCCAAGCTTTGTTCAGCGGCGAGGCGTGCTCTTCAAGAAGAACTTCGGAACGAGCAACCCTGCCTGGCTGCTGGTTGTTCCGGCCAGCCTGCGAGAATAAATTTTTCAAGCATGCCATGACGACCCGACGGCTGGACACCTTGGCTACAGCAGGACGCTCGCCCGGTTTTGTGAGAAGCACTACTGGCCGAGACCCCCGAAAACAGTCCACCTGTAGACACGGTCGTGCCATGAGTGCCAACGACATAAGAGGCCTCCGACGAAGCCAGCAGGACTCCTGCAGCCGATACCCGCCCTGACTACGCCCTTCCAGCAGGTCGGAATGGATTTACTTGTGCCGTTCCCAACATCGGCGCAAGGAAATCGGTGGATTATTGTCGCGATCGATTACCTTACACGATTCGCCAAGACGAAAGCCCTGCCATTGGGAACAACGGTGGAAGTCGCCAAGTTTTTCGTCGAGTCGATTTTCCTTCGACACGGTGCACTTGAAGTGCTGATCACAGATCGCGGGTCATCCTTCATGGCACAGCTGACTCAAGAGGTTCTTCGGCTCAGTCATACCAGCCATCGACGAACAACCACGTATCATCCGTAGACCAACGGAACTAGCGGAAGTAAAGTGTTGGGCGGATGTCCTTCACAAAAATATATAAAAAATGCTTTGCGGAAGGATCATTTTCATTTATTATTGTACACGTAATGACAGAATCGCAATAATTTGTTTTTCCATCTGATTCAGGCTAGTCGGACTGCTCATAACACTAGTCAAGCAAGAAGATAACAAAAATTTGAACTTTTTCGTGACCGGTTTATGATTTATTGTAAATATATCGCTATTTGTAGCAACGGACGAACACTATAGATTTTGCCTCCATACGTTTTAAATGCAGAGTTCTAACACACGGCTGTCCATTGCGCCGTGTATTGTGTCTTCTTCTATAAATCTGTAATGGTCAGCGACCAAAGAGCTCACCCGCACATGTCAAGCTTATATGCGCCGCGGGGAGAAACGAATTTCGAGTAGGAAGTGTCGGGCGTAGTATCGGTTGTTGTGTTTGTGTACATGTCGGTGCTGTGTAGTACGTGGTACTGGTGTTGCCTGCGATGTATGTAGGGTTGCTGTCTAGTCGTGGTCGTTCGCAGCGTATTAACAGACTGTTTTTTTTTTTATTAAATATATGCTGCTAGAAATCTCGCTAGGTGGCGCAAGTTACCGCCCGATTCTAAATAGTTTGCTCAAGATATTTATCCATGTGAGTTCGGCATTCGTTTTTTCTCAACGAGGTAGAGGGGCTTAGAGTGATAAACCAGAAGTTCGGAAGTGGCACCCCCCCCCCCCCCCCCGGGTTGCCGCCATGTTTTACGCAAATGTGACCACTCGTCACGTGACCTCCCAAGAACCGTGACGTCACTGGTAAGACGGCAGCGCCCAGAGCTGGCAGATGCAGGTTTGTTCGGTGCGCGGCAGTCGTGATATGCCGCTGCTTTCCGACGATTTGGGTTTTTTCGTTCTCGCTGACGCAGGTATAATGTGAAAATATGAAGGAATGAGACTTTATACCCTTTTTAGATTGCTCTGCGTCATCTGGATATTAACACCTGTGAGACCGCATCAGCCGTATCGCCATACCAGTGCTCGGATTTGGGATCTGTTCGAGGATCGATAGAACTTTGAGTGGTTTTAGTATAAAATTTTCGCATTCTCTTAGCTTTGTTTGAACGTTGGAATGTCTGAGAATCGACGCGAAAGGTATACGTCGCGTTAGGGCCTAGTAGAAGTTGTTTCAGCCGTGCGTCACGGAATAACCACAGCAACTTTTAGCGAGGAAGCTCCTGAGATCTTTAACCCCTTGTGCTAATCGGCGATTCTACATACGATCGCTTTTCTTCCTTTTTTGGTGAGTGCGAAGTGCACACTTATTCCCAGCTACGAGGATGACGTTTAATTGAGTGTGGGGATGACTCAATCGTTGCAGGCCCCTGCTTCGAAGCTATTCGACTTGCAATAAGAACAACTGTTTTGGTGTATCCATAGATTAACTGCACCTTTTTCTCTTTCGTAGGATTTATTGCAGCAACACATTTTTTCATCAAAAGTGCATTGTATTAGTCGGTCAATTATTTACTTGTTCTAACTACCTGGATAAAATGATTCATATTTATGTTCATCCCTTGCCTGAAGAGCAGTCTTGTTGAAAAATGTTGACCATTCCTTTCGGTCTCTTCAATACTTTTTTGAAAAGTCTGGGTTGCCTATACTTCGTATCATTGTAACCTGGAAAAGGGCAACCGCCACAGCCCCCTCGAGCTAATCAGAGAGACAGAGCGAAAGTGTGTGACAAATCAGTGCAGACGAGCACTCTGAATAACATGTTGTCATGTGCTTCTCTCCAACGTGCATATTGGCTCACCGACACTGTAGCCGTTGCCGTTTGATGATGCCTGCGGAGGTGGCTCTGCAGTGCACTTCTGGAACCGTGGTCTCAGATGGTACCTGTTGCGCATGTAGACCACACCACTCGATGACTTGACAGTGTATGATCGATGAGGTCCCACATCCAGAACTGTTGCTGCAGCCCATCTTCCATTCAGCCAAAACCAAACTGCGTCACCAGTCTTGAGTGGTTGTAGCAGAGCTCTGTGCTGGTCTCCATGACGACGCTGCTGGTTCTGGCGCCTCTGTAGCTGCTTTTGATACTGGTTGTGTGGATACCGCGGTCGTAGCAGTTGCGGGTGAACTGGCAGAAGTGTTCTCACCCTACGGCCCATCAGCACCTCCGGTGGCGATGAAAGGTCATTCCTGGGGGATGATCGGTAGTCTAGAAGCACTCCAAAGAGATCCTGACCGTCTTGTGCAGCCTTACGAATGGATGCTTTGATTGTCTGTACACATCTCTCCACTTGCCCATTGGAGCGGGGGTAAAGTGGCAATGATGGGTTGTGGCGGACGTCCCATTCCTTGTTGAAGGTCGTGAATTCCAAGGAGTCAAATCGTGGACCCTGATCTGTGATGATCTCTTCAGGTATCCCAAACCGAGCATAGATCTCCTTCAGGGTGTTCACCACTGCTGCTGCTGTGGTCGAGACCATCTTCTTGAGTTCAATGTACTTCGAATAGTAGTCAATGACGAACAAGTAGTTTGTCCCTCCAAGGTGGAAAAAGTCCATTCCCAGCTTCTGCCAAGGTAGATTTGGCAGCTCTCGGTGAAGAAGGGGTTCATGAGGGTTAGCTCTCTGATTCTCCTGGCATGTGGTGCAGTTTTTTACCAACGCTTCAGTGTCTGCGTTCATGGTAGGCCAGTACAGAGCCTCTCTTGCCTTACTCTTGCAAGTTACTATCCCTCGATGACCAAGATGAGGCTTCGTCAGTGCATCTGCTCTGCATGCAGCGGGCAGGACAAGGCGGTTGCCTCTGCACAGTAGACCATCTGTGAAGTGGAGCTCCTCTTCGCAGTGCCAGAACTCCAGTGCCTCTGGACTCATGCCGCTGGAGCGCTCGGGCCATCCATCTTTGATGTACTGAAGCACACGCTGAAGTACGGTGTCTATGGCAGTCGCCTCCTTTATTTGTTGGAGCTTGCAAGAAGACGCTTGAACGACTAGGCAAACTGAAGCTGCCGACGTCTCAATTTCAGCCGTGTCCACCTCTTCTGTTATAAGTGGTGCTCTGGAAAGGGCGTCTGCTACTAGCAGCTGCTTGCCTGGAACGTAGGTTAGATGTACATCATAATGCTGGAGCCTCAGGAGCAGGCGCTGCAGTCTTGGGGATATTGTATCGTACTGCTTTGTCGAAAGTTCGATTGGCGGTTTGTGATCGGTCTGCACCCGTCCTGGCGCCCGGACACATAGTAGTGAAAGTGTTCCAAGGCGAAAACCACTGCCAAAAGCTCCTTCTTAATTTGTGCATATCGGCGCTGCGACTCAGACAATCTGGCTAATGCATACGAGACTGGACGTTCGTTTTGCAGAAGGACCGCTTCCTGTCCGTATGAGCTCGCATCTACGGACAGCACCCTTCGTCTCTTTTGCATCGAAGAAACGCAGAACTGGTGCCGATACCAGCAAGCCCTTCACGTTGTTGCATCCCAGATCCATGCAGTCTCTTGCTTCAGAAGTTGTCGTAGTGGATAGGTTTCATGCGCCAAGTTGGGTACAGACTTTGTGAGGTACGTGACTATACCCAAGAAGCGTAGCAACTCTTGCTTGCTGGTGGTACTGGGGAATGCAGCGATTGCATCCAGCTTGCGAAGCTCTGGAGCGATACCTTTTTCCGACAGTTCCTGTCCCACATAGAGCGCCTTGGGAACCGCAAGCTCTAACTTTTGCCTGTTGAGCTTCAGGTTGACTTTGCGGGCTATTTCGAGCACTCGTCTGAGCTGGTCACAATGGTCCTCCGCGCTGCTTGCTGGAAGGAGAAGATTTACGAAGTAGGGATTAATGTCCTCTTCATTTTCGAACAGCTTGTCCATTGTGCGCTGAAACTCCTCCGGTGCACAGTTGACACCAAACGGCATAACCAAGAAATGGTATCTGCCATACGGTGTTGCAAAGGGGCACAATTTCGAGCTCTCTTCGTCCAGCTGCAGGTGGTGGAAAGCATGCGAAACGTCGAGCAGCGTGAAGACCTTGGCATTCTGTAGCCCGGCAAGGAGGGTCTCCTCTGTTGGAATCTGGTAGTGCGAACACATGATGTCTTCATTCAGCTTCCGTGAGTCCAGACATAGTCAGATGGAGCCGTCTCGCTTCATGACAATGACGATGGGGCTGACGTAACTTGTGGGCTCAGTCACTTTCATGATCACCTTTTCTTTTTCCATTCTCTTCAGTTCTGCTTTCACTTTATCCTCCAATGCTTTGGGTATTTTCCTAGATGCTGAGACACTTGGCTGAGGATTTTCACGCAGTACAATCTTGTGAAGACCAGGGAGTCTGCCGGTGCCTGTGAACACATCTGGGTACTGGTCAATGATGCTTTGTGCTGCTTCTGGCCGGCTTACTGTTGCATGATTATTGCTGTCCCTTGTGCCTTCTACCATCACTGTGTTGACGCGAGGCACTCGCTGAACTAAGTTGTACTGTTTGCATGCTCCAAGGCACAGCTCTATCGAGGTCGACAACAATGAACATCAGGCTTCCTGTACGTTGGTTAGCAGTGCAACCCAACTCACATTCTCCAATGAGAGGCAGTTGTTCTCCAGAGCAGGTTTATGGCTTCGTCGCGGTCGTCGTCTAGGTTGTCCACGGAGAGTACATCCAGGTTTATGGCTTCGTCGTCAGCCTGAAGCAGTGCTTGCACTTGTCTCCATTGCTGCTGCCTCTTTGGCTGGTTGCACACTGTTGCGAAGTGGTTCTTCTTGTTGCAGTTGAAGCATGTTTCTCCGTAGGCTGGACAGTTCTGAGCACGATGACGCGATCCGCACCTCGAGCATGCCGGCTGAGTAGTCTGTTCACATCCGTCGCGCGAGCGCTGTGCCGACTTCTTGAAATTGGTCTTGGCGGTGCTGGTTCGGTCATGTCGCATGGCGTGAACTACCTCTTCGTTCTGTTTCATGGCCTCTGAGCGGGTCTCTGAAACTTCAGCCGCCTTGCACCGGTCGATGACTGCCTTGCGGGATATGTCTCCCTCCCGAAGACGACGTTCTCGGAGAGCGTTGTTCCGAATTCACTGGATCAACCGGTCCTTTACAACGCGGTCTTGCGCTGTCCCGAACGCACATTCCCGCGCCCTGAGCTTCCCTTCTGCGACGAATTGGTCAAACGTCTGACCTGCCTTCTGTTGGAGGCTGTTGAACATGTACGATGCGCGCGTGAGATTCTTGTACGGCCGGAAATGCTCGTCGAACGCCTCTAGGACGTCTGCAAGGGTCCTTTCGTAGCCATCTGCCAGTAGCGGGAACGTCAGGGTGCGGTAAATCTCGTTGATCTCAGTTCCTCCGACGTGCAAGAACAACGACGTTCTCGTTTCTTCATCCTCGGTGTGATACTTGCACGCTCGTTCAAATATGGTGAAGCCTCGTCGCCAATGTGCCCATGCCTCCGACGGGTTGGTTGTCGCCGAAAATGGAGCAATCTGTTGTAGGAATGCGGCCATGGTTTTGCTATCCCACTTCTGACACCATGTTATGTTTATGCTTGGGGACGGATTAACAGGATGACATCGGATTACTGGGATCGCTGATAGCACATGTTTTATATCCGGTCGGTTACATGATCGGGCGTAATCTAACACTTGACTAGGCTTGGCCCTTGCTTGGAGACACTCTAGCTGGCGCTAGGTGGCGCTAGTGACGTGCTAACTGACATTATACGTAACAGAAACGAATTACAGTTGCTACTAATCTAATTACCCCAGTCATTTATTCGACCCTTAAAGGCCCAATGGGCATTACATAAGTGGGGGCAAGGAATATAAAATCGAAAATACAGAACACCGCACGAAGTGAAAAAAACCCATCAATTATACATTTGTACACGATATAAAAATAGCAGGGAAAATCCACACAGAAACAAATCAGGTCAAAAATCACCAACATATCGTCTATGTAAGCACTCGACAAAAGAAAATAATATTAAAATAATGAAATAAAATAATAAATATATAATAAAATATAAAATATGGTAGCCAACTATGAAAACAATGTAGAAATCGCCTCACGGAACAGGCCGGTGTCACTAATGTCGACTATGGTGTTGGGAAGGTCGTTCCAATCGCGGATGCCTCGCGGGACAGCGGAGTTAATAAACGCACTAGTTTTACCGGTTAGGTGCTTCAAACTTTTGCTATTAGTGGTTCGATGGGAAGATCTGTTAGGAGGCTCAAGAAAAGGTATATTATTATCGTGATAGTAGAGCTTATGGATGAGGATCAGAAGAGCAATTTTACGGCGGTTTTCGAGTAGAGGGAGAGAACACTGACTTTTTAGAGTCGAAACACTTATATTATAGGAATAACTCGATGTTATAAAACGTGCCGCTCGATTTTGGACGGCTTCGATACGTTTGGTTAAGTAGACTTGATGGGGGTTCCAGATTGGTGAAGCATAATCAAGTTTTGGGCGAACGTAAGTTTCGTAGGCTAGTTTACGAAGTTGAGAATGTGCTGCCTTGAGGTTACGCTTAATGTATCCGAGGGTTTGAAAAGCATTAGCAATTACGTTGTTAACGTGGGTGGTCTATGACAGGTTAGAAGTGAGGTGAACTCCCAGATATTTGTAAGAAGAAGCAACGCTAACAGGCGTGTTACCAAGAGAATAGGGGAATAAGGAAAGGGTTTTTTTGCGAGTAAAATTAAGTAATTTGCATTTTGACGTGTTTAGGGGCATTAACCATTTGTCACACCAATTATGAATATTGCCGAGATCTCGCTAAAGGATTAGATGGTCACTTGGATGAATAATTTTTCGGTATAGCACACAGTCATCTGCAAACAAACGTATGTTAGAGGACAGCGAATTAGGAAGGTCGTTAATATAGATAAGAAACAGAAGAGGCCCTAAGACGGTGCCTTGAGGGACTCCCGAAGATATGTTAGAAATGTCAGATTGAAAATCTCCATTGACAGTAAACGGAGAACGAAGAGAGAGAAAGTTTCAAACCCACGAGAGAGTTAGAGAATCAAGATTGAGCGAGGAGAGTTTAGATATTAAACGACAATGAGGTACGCGATCAAATGCTTTAGAGAAATCAAGAAATACGGCATCGGTTTGAGAGTTAGTGTTCATATTAACGTGAAGGTCATGAGTGAATTCGAGCAGTTGCCTATCACACGAGAAGCCTTTTCGGAAACCATACTGATATTCATAAAAGAAATTGTTAGATTCAAGATATGATGCAACATGAGAGACTATCCCAAGTAGCACAACACGCCGGGTTGGGGATGGGGCGGTATTGGCCTGCCGGGATACCGATACCGGCCAGTACCGGAAACGCCCCAAGGGGCGACATTGGCCGGGCCCAATGCCGGAATCCGGCCGGTACTGGGAACTTATTGGGAAACCGGGATGCCGGGAATACGGGATGTTCCCAGCGAGCTCCCGACACAGATCCCCGGCATGGAACCGGTGGTACGGTAGGAAACCATCAGTGTGCCAGCGTGTTTCCGGGTCAGAGCCAGTCCAATTGCGGATTAGTCCCAGCGTAAAAACAGATCAGTGCCAGCGTAATTGCAGGTCATTGCCTGCGAAATTGCGGATCAGCACCAGCGTATGCGTCATTCAGTGTACCCACCATAGAACCAGCAGAATCTAGCTGTGTCAGGCTTTAAAGCCCAGGAATGACATTTTACTGCATTTTTAAACAGCTAACTTCTCAGTAGATCAAATTGACTTAAATGTGGAAATGCTAAATTTCTCAGTCCAAACTATTTTATTGGTTTTCATATCTTTTATAGGTGCTGACCGTTTTTAACATGTTTTTCGGACTTGAACTGAAAAAGGCCGGTTTAGTATTTGTGCAATTTTAAGAAACAATTCTGTGTGAACAATTGACTTTCTCCATGTATACAGTATACTCATGGCAATTATTGTATACTCGTTGAGACGACATGTCCCATTCATCTGTCGCCCAGATGCATATTGTGGTTAGTACAAGAAGGGAACATACAAATTTTTTTTACCGTGACATTCTTTATTGTGACTCGTGCATCCATAGCAGCTAGCTCCTCAGCCAGAGTGTCCCTCATCGTCAAGGGCGGTTGGAACCACCAGTGGAGTGTCCGTCTTTTTAACTCTATTGCCCTTGCCCGCCTCCCTGCCCGTCAGCCACTTCTGCACCGCGTCCACGCTGCACGAGTGCAACTTTGTATGGCACCTGTAAAGAGAATTGTCAGATCACACAGATTAGTTGAGGGATAGGGGAAGCCAATATCTTGCATATTAGCTACACACAAGGTGCTGTTCACACACTGCAGTTTGTGAGCATTTACTTTGTGTAAATATAGGTCCCTCACTTAGCCTGCAATTCAAAGGTGACAGAAAGAGAGCACCACAGAGGTGGAGATTGTGGGTTTGGCTACCACGCTAAGGTGCAGATTCTATGGAGGCATATGGCTATTTCACGCAACATCCTATTAATCTGAAATGGGGGCGAGACGGGGCGGGGGGCGAGAAGGGGTGGGGTGCAGAAATGAGTGGTTAAAAAAAGAGCAAAACTTCCCCAACTGACACTCTACAGACCAAGGCCTCTAAATGGTCGTCATTAGATTTTCAACCTGGAAACTAACAGGATAACAAGACAAGAGCAACAAAAACCTTTTTCCACAGTTCCTTCAAGACGCTGCTTTTGAGTATGAAGGTTCCGAGAATGGTAACACAGGAGATATTCATAATAAAAAATGCAAGTCAAATTTAAAAAAAAAAAAAATAACGACAGGAATTGACGACTTAAATTTTGCATATTGCAAGACTTAACAAGAAACTGAAGCTGTTCTGTATTTGAGGAAGAACACCAAAATCGTCTTGATATGGCATCC